CCACCAGGAGGCCGGCTGGTCCATGTTACACACGTGGGTAGTGGGGGAAGGCTCCTGCATTAGACATGGTGTTTATAGGCACCACCAGGAGGCCAGCTGGTCCATTACACATATGAGTTTGGTGGTGGTAGGGGGTGCACACAAAGGGTGGGGGCTGCTGCATCAGAAGGTACCTCAGAGCAGTGGTTCCTAACTGTGTGGACACGTGACCCTCCAGATTCTTATCTAACCTAAAGACCTCATTGTGGTCACAGTGACACAGATCCCATTGCAATGGCTCCATGACATCAAAGGCCCAGCCACAGAGCCTGCATTTTCCACCCAGAACCCTACCTGAGGCTGAGGCTCAGAGAATGGCTGAACTGTGCTGCAGAAAATATGAAGACAGTCATAGGGTTTCAGAAATTCCCCATACTTTCTATGGTAATACAATTCAATATGGGAAGTTCTGGCTTAGCGCAGTTTTTTGTGAATAGGAATAACATTAAATGGCTTTTTTTCTGATTTTCTTTCCTACTAAGAATGTAAAGTTAATGAAAGTGACATGAACATGAGTACTCTTATAAACATTATATAGTTAAATTAGATATTTTGGAAATGTGCTTCAGCCCTCTTAACAGCCAAAAAAAAAAAAATTACTACAAAAACTGATGATTCCTTGCTAAACACCCTATAAGTAAAAGGAGAAAATTTATACATACAGTTTCCTTCATCTGAATTTGATTGATCTTTATTCTAAACAACTTGTGCTTGAATTCTCCATTAAAAATGAACTTGTCTCCGTCTTCTACCTCCTTTCCTTTGGGACTTTTAATCAGCACACGCGCTTTGCCACAGGCCAGGGACTGCAGCGTTCTTCGCAATTCACTATCCTCTGAATGGGAAGCAAATGCAGGCAAAGGTTGGCATTAAATGAGACTCAACAACAGTAAACAAATCATGCTCACAAGTCTATGTCTTATCTTAAAACAAATACATGCTTTAGAAACAACTTGTGGAGCTATGCACTCTGGGGTTTTCATACCTATCCCCGTGGCCATTTTTATCTCCTCAAAGCTGAAGCCATCTCCCTCGTTGAACATGAGGAGCACCAGTGTCTGGAAGAGGGATACCTGGAATTCCTTCTTCCCCTGGAAGAGAAGGCCTCATCACACCTTTGAAGCTGTGCTTGTACAATCTTTGAAAAATTAAAAGAAGCTTCTTTTCACTCTCAAACTTTTTGTGACGTGATTAAGAATTACTAGTAGGCTGGGCATGGTAGTTCACACCTGTAATCCCAGCACTTTGGGAGGCCAAGGGGAGGACTGCTTGAGCCCAGAAATTTGAGACCAGCTTGGATAACATAGTGGGACCCCATCTCTACAAAAAATTTTTAAAAATTAGCCAGCCATGATAGAACACACTTGTAGTCCCAGCTACTCGGGAAGCTGAGGTAGGAGGCTGGGAGGCTGAGGCTGTAGTGAGCTAGGATCATGCCACAGCACTATAGCCTGTGACAGAGGAAGAACCTGTCCCAAAACAAAAAAAAAAAAAATGCCAAAAAGAGGAAACTGGCAAAACCATCAGCAATTTCATTACAAGAAAGAATAACAAAATAAGCTTGTGGGGCATAATCGATCCATTAGCCCAGCTGCCTTTTGCATGGGACTGACTGTAACATAGGCGCAATGTAACTTGGCCTTAGATATCCTAAGATGACCTCCTTTTCTATTCAGGATTTTCTGCTGCAGCGACTTGCCCCATGCCTCCCAGTCAGACCCATGAGAGGCATGCGCAAGGTGGTGTGGCAGTCAGGGGCTCCCTCTGCAGACCCAGCCCTGACTCATCACCAGCCCGTAACAAGCCCTCCTGCACACCTGGAGAGAGCGCAGCTGGTGGTGCCAGCACAAACCCTGTGGAGGTCAAGTTCTACTAAAGTCAGCAAGTAAGGAAAGAACTGAGGGTAACAGAAATTAACTGTCCTCATACCTTAAGGAAGAGTATATATGGTTTTACATATATGACTCTATACAATAATATACATAAAGTAAGTATGTATAACTTATTTAGTAATGTACAGGCAAGTGTCTTATTAATATAATAGCTAAGGAAAATAGGAATTTTATAAAGTTTTGCTTAGTGTATATAATTGCCCTATTTCATGACAAGCTCCTCTCATTGACTGGTGCATTGAATGTATTCGCCCCTCTTAATCACTGATAATAACAGCACTGCCACAACTATTCGCATTCACTCATCTGTGAAAATGTCTTATTAAGATGAAGTTCTAGAGTTGGAAGTATGGCAACAATTCAGCAGTGCTGCCGTAGCAGACAGTGCCAAACTGCTCTTCCAAATACTCAGAGTTGACAGTGCCAGGCTGCTCTTCCAAACACTCACGACAGCTGATGCTTCTTCCAGTAGTGACTAAGAGTCAGTTTTTTTTTTATTTTTAAGGCTTCATCAAATCTCTTAGTCAAAAAGTGGTATCTTACTGTATTTTATTTTGAAGCCCTTTGTTTAGCAGAGAAGTGTAATGCATCTTCATGGACATTAATTTTTTTCAGTTTTGCTTCTATGAGTTACCTCTTCACAGTCTCTGCTTTTTCTTTCCCCCATAGGTAAATGGTTTTCTATGGATTAATTTCTTAATACTTTTTACTGATTGGAATATTAACCCTTTGTTATTAATTGACTTACAAAAGCTAGTAAATTAAAGCGAAACACTCTTTCCTTTTTTTGCTACCAAAATTCAGCAACAATCAAAAACCTCTATTAACATATTTACAAACAAAAAATAAACAAAACAAAGAACTTACTTCTTTAAACTCTGCTTTTAAAACAGCATGCCCCAAAGTAGTTTGCCACTGAAGTTTTCGACCACTGTGCTTTCCAAGATAAAATGCCTTAAATACTTCCTGAAGTTTAATCATCTGTCAAGCATAGGAGAACAACAAAATTATGCCACACACCATCCATCTAAACAGTCCCACATTCAGTGCACAGAGTTTTACAATTTTTTCACAGCTGAACTGAAAGGTCAGCTCTATATTCTGACACTTTCTGGATTCCATTATCTCAATCCTTGCACTCTGAGGCTTCCCAATGCCAACGAGATAATGCTTGCACTGGTGTTTCATGGTGCAGGCGAGCTATATCGGTGGTCTATGCCCACACCTGGGTTTGCTGGGGCCAGTGGCACAGAGTGAAGACTGGAGCCAACCAGAAAAGGCCATCTGAGGCCAGATCCTGCATCTCAGCCCAGCCCTGCCCTGCCCTGGCTGCATTCTCCCCAGTGAGCAGGGCTCCTGCTTCCTCAGCTGGGAGGGGCAACACCACCACTACTTGTGTTGCACTGTGCAGGGGCCGATGGCAAACACTTCCTGCATGGAAGCGCAGCGTGAGTTAGTTGTTTTTATGATGAGTTTCTGGGTGACGTTTTCTTTTTTGGAACATAGGCTTGCTCTGTCCGCCAGGTTGTGGGGCTATCCTAGCTGACTGCAGCCTGGACCTCCCAGGTGCAAGTGATCTACCTGCCTCAGGGTCCTGAGTAGCTGGGACTACAAGTACGTGACACCACACCCAGTCAATCGATTGACTTTTTTTTTATTTTTGTAGAGACGGGTCTTTCTATGTTGCCCAGGCTGGTCTTGAACTCCTGAGCCCAAGTGCTCCTCCTGCCTTGGCCTCCCGAAGACTGGAATTACACTGTGCCTGGCCTTGAGTGAAGTTCTTACATTTTCCAAACTTTCTACTGATCCTTAAAAACTGTGTTTGTCACATTTCAAGTTCCTAGCACTCAGTGTACCAGCCTTTCCCATGGCCTGCATCCTGCTCGTTTTGCGGATGCCTTGGAGGCAGGCTGTGTGTGACTTTCCCGTGCACGGTGCTGCCCAACTTCTGCGTGCCCTTCCTGGTCCATCATACCCTCCACTCTTCAGCTTGATCCTGTCTGGTGCCCACCGCACCCAGGCTCTCCGACGAGTCTGTGCTGCACACGCGAGGGCTCATCGGCTTTACCTCAGGAGACCATCTCTGGACGGCCCAGGGCATGACCTCCCCCTGTTCTTGTCCACTCCACAAACGCCAGTGCTCCAGGACTCTGCATCCACCTAGACGCCATGTATGAGTCCCTTCTTTCACTGCTATAAAGAAATACCTGACACTGGGTAATTTATAAAGAAGAAAGGTTTAATTGGCTCATAGTTTTGCAGGCTGTACAGGTAGCATGGCTGGGGAGGCCTCAGGAAACTTTTAATCATGGCAGAAGCAGGCACGTCTTCACATGACCAGAGCAGGAAAGAGAGAGAAGGGGGAGGTGCTACATATTTTTAAATAACCAGATATCATGAGAACTCACTCACTACCACCAGCACAGCAAGGGGGATGTCTGCCCCCAGGATCTGGTCACTTCCCACCAGGCCCCTCCTTCAACATTGGGGATTACAATTCAATATGTGAGATTTCGGCAGGGACACAAATCCAAACCAGTCACTCCTCTTCCACACACTCACCATTCCCTGTTTCTTTGGATGGCTTCCATAGATCTTGGGACAAAGAAGGCAAGAAATTCTAACCTCTGATCTCACAGACCTGGACTATGCCCCTCCCATCTCCAGGCCTAGTCCAGTGGATCACTCCACTGTCTTTCACACCATCTCATCCCTCCAGATTTTCACACATGTGGTTTTTTCTGCTGGATCCCATATCCCATCTCCCTGATGAAAACTACTCTTTTCCAGAAGTGCCTCCTCAGAGCAGACTTCTCTGACACACTCTTAGCTCGGACCACATCTATAGCACGGTGTGAATGTGGACTCTGGACAGCTCACAGGGCAGGGCCTCTGACTCTCCATTGCTGTACTGTGCATGGCACCAGCAGGTGCTGCATAAATGCCTGCTGCTCCCTAGACATGACGTGCCCTTTTAGTTTCTCTGTGTTTCTGTCTAAGCTGTGCCTGTCAGATGTTCCTGCCAACCTCACACCTGCCTGGCAATCTCCTCTTCATGCTTCAAAACTCAGCCCAAGAGTTACCTTTCTATGAAACCAAACATATAAATCACCTGATGTACCAAGTAGCCATCTCCAATGACACCCAATCCCAGGCATAATACAATTTCATTTGTCAGTATTTCCGTGTATATCTAAAGGAAAGGAACTCTTTCAGGAAATATATCTACTATGTCATTACAAACCTAAAAATAAAAGTCAGTAATGTGATAAACCTCTTTTTTCCTTTTCTTTTTGCCTTGAGAAGTACCATGGTTTGTGATAAACCTCTTAATGCCTATCCTTCCTAAAAATCATCTCCTTGGGATTCATTCCTAGGTCTGGGTCAGTATTAATAATAATTATAATCATAATGCTATCATTTGGGTACTTACTACGTGCTAGTTACCATTCCAGGCCCAAAATGGGTCAACCGAAACATAGGAGCTAAAACTCTAAAACTCTTGGGAGAAGACATCGTGGTATTTTCTTTTCTTTTCTTGAGACAGGGTCTCATTCTGTTGTCCAGGACAGAGTGCAGTGACTCGATCGCAGCTCACTGCAGCCTTGACCTCTCAGGCTCAAGCAGTCCTTCTATCTTGACCCCTGAATGGCTGGGACTGTAGGCGGGCACCACCACACCTGGCTAGTTTTTCTATTTTTTGTAGAGACGGGGTTTTACCATGTTGTCGAGGTTGATACTAACTTCTGGGCTCAAGTGATCTTTGGCTTCCCAAAGTGCTGGGATTACAGCTGTGAGGCACTGCACCTGGCCTAGTAAATTTTTTGTGATCTTGATTTGGCAACGGTTTCTCAGACGTGACACCAAAAGTAACAAAAGAGAAAATAAATGTGATTTTACCATAATTAAAAACTTTTGTAGAAAGCAGACTATCAATAAAGTAGGTAACCCACAGAATGGGAGAAAATACTTGCAAATCACAGATCTGATAAGGGTCTAGCATCTGGAATATAAAGAGCTCTTACAGCTTAATAACAAAAGACAAACAGACCAGTTAGAAACTGGGCAAAGCACGTGAACAGATGTTTCTCCAAAGAAGATACACAAATGGCCAATCAGAACATGAAAAGATGCTCAACATCAATAGTCATCAGGGAAATGCAAATCATGGCAAGATGTGACACTAGCTCATACCGACAGAGATGGCTACCATGAAAGAAGCAAATCACAGGCCTAGGTGAGAAGGTGGGAAGATGGAGCGCTCGTGATTGCTAACTGGAATAGAAGCTGGTGCAGCCACTGTGGGAGACAGTCTGGCAATTCCTCAGGAACTGAAACTACAGGCTGCTTCATGACCCAGCAGTTCCACTCCCAGGTATATACCCAAAAGGAGTGACCACAGGTGTGTATACACACAAAACGAGTCACCACAGGTGTGCAGGTACCCAAAAGGAGCGACCACAGGTGTGCACGTACCTGAAAGGAGCGACCACAGGTGTGTACGTACCCAAAAGGAGTGACCACAGACGTGTATGTACCCAAAAAGAGTGACCACAGGTGTGTATATACACAAAAGGAGTTGTCACAGGTGTGTATATACACAAAAGGAGTTGTCACAGGTGTGTATATACACAAAAGTTGTCACAGGTGTGTATATGCCCAAAAGGAGCGATCACAGGTGTGTATATAACAAAAGGAGTGATCACAGGTGTGTCTATACCCAAAAGGAGCAACCACAGGTGTTCAAACTAAAACCTATACACCCGTGTTCACAGCAGCATTGTTCACAGCGGCCAAAAGGTAGAAATAACCCAAATGCCCAACATTTGGTGAATGGATAAACCAAATGTGACCTACCCATACAATGCGATGTTAGCCAGAGAAAGAATGAAGGGCTGATGTGTGGTACGGCATGGATGGACTTTGAAAACAGCATGTTAAGTCAAAGAAGCCAGACACAAAAGTTCCCACGTTGTATGATTCCATTCATGTGAAATATCTACTGTAGCCAAGTCCATAGAGACAGGAAGCAGATAGTGGCTGCTGAGGAGAGCAGGTTGGGGAGGAACTGCTAACGGAGTGATAGAAAATTCTGGGACAGACGGGGTGACAGCTCTGTAACCCTGTGAATGTACCACTGGCCCTCTGTGTCCGTGGGTTCCACAGCCATGGAGTCAACCAATCTCAGGTCAAAAATTTTCGAAAGAAAAAAAGGGATGGTTGTCTGTTCTGAACATGGACAAACTTTTTTGTCATTAATCCCCTAAAAGGTCAAAAAGAATCCGAACAGTCTGTTACTGTACTATTAACAATACAGTATAACAACTATTTACATAGCATTTATTAGGTATTATAAATAATCTAGAGATTATTTAAAGTATATGGGAAGGTATGCATAGGTTATGTATAAGGGACTTGCCTTGAGTCTGTGAATTTTAGTATCTGTGGGGGTCCTGGAACCAATACCCCATGGATACTGAGGAACAACTGCACTTAATGTTTCTGAACCATACACATTAAAATGTTAAGTTGTATGTTAAAGTATATTTTACCACATTAAAAAAAATATAGTAGGGTAAGCCTCAAACATCTTTTGCTAGAAAACAAAAAAGTACTAAAAAATGTACCAAAAAAAGTACTAAAAACTGATGTGGACATATCAAAGAGCAAAGGAGCCAGCGTCAGGGTGGCCGGCCATGGACCACATATGGGGCAATTTAGGCATAAAAATAAGTACATAAATTAAGAATCCATGAGTTCTTAATGATGAAGAGAGAGAAGGAAATAAGCAAATAAAGTGGGTGGAAAGGAGGGCTCTTCCTTAGAAAGTCAACTTCTAAATACAAAGAAACAACAGAACTGGAAAAAAATCCCCATTCACGAAGGTAAACATCAATTCAGGCAGGAATTGCCACACAGGTGACAGTTGGATGAGGATTAAGATGTTTACGTAGTCCTGAAACGTCTCCTCACAGATTACTTAGTAATTACAAAAGGAAAAACACTAATAATATAGTGGAGAAAGCAGCTAGCACCTTAACAGAAGGGTTCTATTGCACTTCATCAGGATACTGGAACACATGGTAGCACACGCCTTCTGTCAGGATCCTGATGGGAACACGGAGCATCTGGCTGGACCTGCACAACCTGAACCTGCTATCCGCAAGGGAGCACCAAAGACCGCCTGGGTCCTGGGCTCAACGGGGTACCAGAAAAAAATGCTGCAAAAGACATATTTGAGAGAGCCAGTAGAAACGAAATGAAAGCAGAAATCAGGTGAATGCCCTCATCTGACAGGGAGCTTTCTGTTCTTGGGAAACAGCCACTCAAATACCAAGGGTAAAGGGAATGGTGCAGGAGCACGCACATCTGTGGAGGGCGGGAGGGACACCACATGGCCAACATGGAAAGCAGGTTGCTTGCCTCTCTTTGAGCATCCTGCACAGAAGCAAGCTCTCTCTGACCTTCTCCTACCCCACTTTCTCCACCAAAGTGAGTTCTGGAATCAGAACTCCTCTTCCCTGAGGCGGGTGAGAGAAAGCCTGAGCCTCTCTCCCCCAAAGCCAGTCTTAAAACCTGGAGACATTAATCCATCCTTCCCCTGCCCTTTTGTGTAGGATCTGGACATTAAGAAGTTCTCTGATCTACCTTGCTGATAGTTAAGTTCTGCCCTACACCTGGGAGGAAAGAACGCTGCCCAGAGAGGGCAAGAAGAATCTCAACAGACGGGTCTTACTGGATTCCCACTGTCAGATGGCACCCTTGTGTCTAGTCACACTGATAGATTTTGGGTGCGTGTCCCCTCTAAATCTCACATTGACATGTGATCCCCGGTGTTGGAGGTGGGGTCTGGTGGGAGGTGTTTGTGTCATGGGGTGGATCCTTCATCAATGACTTGTTGCCCTCCCTGAGATAATGAGGTACCAGGAGATCTGATTGTTTAGGAGTCTGGGAGCTTCCCACACCGCCTCTTGCACCCTGTCGCTTACTCTCCCTTTGCCTTCAACCTTTAGTAAAAGCTTCCTGAGACCTCATCGGAAGTTGAGCAGACACGGGTGCCATGCTTGCACAGCCTGCAGAACCGTGAGCCAGTGAAACCTCTTTTCTTTACAAATTACCCCACCTAAGGTACTCCTTGATAGCAATGCAAAACAGACTAACGCACCTATTTCTACATGGCTGCCCATTCTTGATCAAACCAAAGCATAACAATGGACAGTTTTCCCCGGTTCTTTGGTTTTCATTTCTGAAGCCTGCTGTGTTAAGTAAGACATTGATTAAATAAAATTTGTTATGGTTTTCTCCTCCTAATTTGTCTTTTGTTAAAGAAGCACTGGCCATGGCCCTTATGAGGGATGAGAAAAGGAATGACATTATCCGACCACTGTAGCTGTAAGTTTTTCTTCCCTTCTCAGCTGAGAAAATAATCATTCACCTCTAGCTGAGATCAGGCTTAAGGGATGCCTTTTCCAGGATGTCTTTGATGATCCCAGGCTGGTATCAGCCCTTTCCCTTTGCCCAGTATTATATTGAAGGGTGCATGTATTGTGTCTCCTGCTGATTTTAACTTCACTAGGCACAGAATTCTATCTCTGATGTGCAAACCCTCCACTAAAGAGTTTAGTGTGGCTAAAGTAGTGGCTGACAAAAAGACCCTAAATAATGCCATTCCCAAGACATCAGCAATGTCTACAATGGAAAGAAATAAGAACCAGACAACCACAGCTCAGTCAGCCATAACTTTCAAACAAGTGCCTGTGCTCGTGGGCCCCCTGCAGGTCAGCAGGTGGACACAGGCTGCACTGGGAGGAACCACAGCAGGTGACAAAAGTGGTCACTTTCTAATGCTGCTTTCCAAAGACCATAAGAGCACTTTGATTTTGGACTGCGTGGACTATTTTTAAAAACTCCCCATTAAACAATTCTTGAAGGCAACATATCTGCCTGGAAAGGGCATGACCGTGGAAGCAGACAGCACGCTGTCTGCACACTTACTTCCGGGGTTAAGTGCACTTCCATGGGCGTGTATGTCGGCCAATAGCCCATTGTGAGTATGTTCACTGTGAGGTCTATAGGGCCTGAGTCACTCTGATTCTGCATATGCTAAAAACAGAGAAATCCAAGACAAATAATCATTTGAGAAAGTCATAAAATATAATTAACCTATAACAAAATTAACTGTGTAATTTTCAAAACAAACATTCATCTGTGTATTTATTTGAGTCCCGAGAACATACTCTGTAAAATCCAATGCCATGCTGGAACTGACTTCTCCCCTTCTTCAGGTGTTACTACCAGACTCACAGAAATCAAATTCTTGCCACAGGTTTAGAGCTTCTTTTCTTCTCCTTTTAAAATTTACTTGTGAAACATGAATAGTGTGATTTTTTTTCTTACATAGTTTAGAGTGAGATTCATTCATTCTATCTAATCTGTTGAATCTACCTACCTTATTTCTCTATCTATGACAAGGTATTGCTATGTCTGTCTGTCTATGTATCTAGCTATCTATCCATACATCTGTAACAAGGTCTCACTTTTATGCCCAGGTGGAGGGCAGTGGTGCGGTCATGGCTCACTGCAGCCTCAAACTCCTGGGCTCAAGTGATCTTCCCACTTCGGTCCCACTCTAGTGGCTGGGACTACAGGCATGTGCCACCCTATCTGCTCATTTAAAATTTTTTTCTTTTGTAAAGACAGGGTCTTGCTACGTTGATCAGGCTGGTTTTGAACTTCTGGCCTCAAGAAAGCCTCCTGCCTCAGCCTCCCAAAGTTCTGGGATTACAGGCATGAGCCACCACACTCAGCAGATACTTTTTAAAAAGCCGCTTTACCTGAAGAAACACAACTCACCTGCTTGAAATGAACCATGATGTCCTTTGAAAGCTCCATGTCCTTGAACATGCCTTCTAGCTTGCTCGTGAAGGCTGCACCACACTCTGGACACGGCAAAGGAGGGAGTGAGACTGGGGCAGCACGCAGGGCAGCGACCCTCAGTTCCGGGGGGGAGCCCAGGCCCCACATGCTTACCATGCTTGAGCTTTGACAGCATAGACTTTTCAGCATCGACTGAGGCACTTTTCCCAACAAGAAGTCTTTTTGCCAAATCTTTTTTATAAAATGCTTCAAAGACATCTTTACCTATTTATAACCAGATGAGAAGAATCAAGACATCAGAGCGCGGATAAGCAAATGTTAGGCTTCAACTGCTGAAAACCCTTAAATGTGTCCATTCTAATGCAAACTGGCTCTACCGAACCGACATTCTCATGCTAAACTTCCTCTGAGAAAGCAGAACCTGTGTTTACATCTCTAGATTATGCAGCATTTTCTGAGTGCCCAAATCTCACCGTGGATGAACCTGAACAGGATCATGATCTTGTCCAATGTCCGCTCCAGCTCCTCGTCTGTGGCTTCTTTGTTGCCTGCTCTTAACTTTGAATCCACATGCTTTGCTGTGAGCATAAACATATAGAAATACTACATAAAAACATACAAACACATAGCATCTTTAATTTCTATAAGCAACACTGTACAGTAACATTCTGGAACCTTTCCAAAATAACATTACTATATGACGAAAAAGCAAATATCTGATTTTCTAAGATAAATACTCTTAAGTCATGCGAGAGTAAATACTTCCCAAAATTTTAACAAAGCCAGGGACTGAATGTTTAAAGCAGGTTTAACTATCTTTCTTATCTCTAAATGTAATCTCTGAATTTCAAAATAAAATGGGTTCAGTGATCACATGCTCAGGTTTCAGGACACATGGCTGCCCCAAACGCAGGAGTGCCCATTCCTGGGATCTGGTGTCATCAACTCAGGAGACATTCTCAAAGAAAAAGACTTTCTCAGGGCATCCAAGGTGGCAATGCAGGGTAGAAGCATTTCTACTCAGGCTTCCTGTTTCTGAGGCTGCACAGGCCATCCGAGGTGGCTCGGGAGGATCTACGTCCCATGTGATAGAACTCAAGATTTCCAGAAGCCTAAACTCCCAAAAGCTCAACATTCCTTTTTAGAGAAACCAAAATTGAAACAGAGGCACAAAAGCCAAAGTAAACTGCCCCCTCAATTCCTTCTGTTGCTGCCTCTATTCGTTTTTCTCTTTTGAACATTTTACAATGGAACATTCTGAACACACAGAAAAGTAGACAACTGCACAATGAGCTCCATGTCCCATCACGCACCTTCAGCGCAATCAACAGTCAATCTAGTGTCATCGTGTTACAGTTATCTTTGCCCCTTTTCTCCTTCAAATTAAAAAAAATTTACTGACTAGAGAAAGCCTAGGAATTCTGAAATTATTTTGGTATTATTGTGAAAAAAATGTACGACTTAAAAACAGTATTTAAAAATATGCTATCATTTGAGATCTCACCTGATTTTATCCTATCTTAATACTGATCAGAGGATGCAAAGATGGTGGATCACCCCTTTCTTCTTTGGCGAAGTCAAGCGTCATTTCTCTTCTAAATTCCTACCTCATGTTCCCTTACGGAAATGCCCTCCTCCACCCATGAATGCAGGTGTGTCCCACTTTTTAAAATGTATGTCCCAATAAGGCTTGATAAAAACACTTTCCACACACCCCACGAGCAGCTTGAACATTGTGGAAAAAAATTTGGTTGAGTTTTGCGTTATTTTCCCACATTAAAAAACAGTCTAGAAATGGGTGAGACTGTCTCAAAAACAAAACAAAACAAAACAGATTTTTCTACCAATCAGTTCTGCAGGCTTGTTGGGTCTCTTGTTGATGAACGTCTCAAACGACTCCTTCATAAGGTTGACAAACCGCTCGTTCTTCTGGAAGCAGACCTCTATCACATGGTCTACCTTGTCCTTGAAGTCCAGCAGGTCTTGGACCATGTCTTTATCTTTCTCAGGATTGATGACAATCGCTGTCCCGAAAGTCTACAAAAGCAAATCAATACCAACTCAGCAACATGTTTATAATACCAAATAGTAATTTCTCCTGCTATCACATAATCAGGATAGTTTAATATAAATTACTCTTAGTAGTAAATACTCAATAACTTTAAAAGTTTCACAAGTTGAGTTCATATTTCAAAAATTAAGTAAATTTTCTTTTTTTTTTAAATGGGGCAGGGCCTCACTCTGTGGCCCAGGCTGGAGTACAGTGGTGCAATCACGGTTCACTGCAGCCTTGACCTCCCAAGCTCAAGCAATCCTGCCACCTCAGCCTTCTGAGCAGCTGGTGCCACAGGCTCAGGCCACCACATCTGGCCAATCTTTTTAAAAGTTTTGTGGAGACAGGGTCTTGCCATGTTGCCTAGGCTGGTCTCAAACTCTGGGCCTCAAGCAATCCTGCTCTGGTTTCTCAAAGTGCTGGGTTTATAGGGATGAGCCCCTGTGTCTGGTGTGAATATACAGTTAGATATACAATAAATGCCTTGCTCTTACATTTGTTCCTGAGAGAACTTCCAAATGACTGGGAAAATGTCCACGGCTTCTTAAAGAACATTTATGTATAAGTTCCTCAAAGACAAGTTAATTCTTACTAATTCAATACATCTATTGGGATTTCTTAGCTACAGTTTTCTTTCTCCATCACTTCTAACCATGAAAAGCTATTTCTAGTTTGCATTTTGTTTTTTTTTTTTTGAGATACAGTCTCACTCTGCCGCCAGGCTGGAGTGCAGTGGTGCGATCTCGGCTCACTGGAACCTCTGCCTCCTGCGTTAAAGCAGTTCTCCTGCCTCAGCCTGCTGAGTAGCTGGGACTACAGGTGCACACACCACCATGCCCAGCTAATTTTTGTATTTTCATTAGAGAGGTTTTCACCATGTTGGCCAGGATGGTCTCGATCTCTTGACCTCATGATCCACCCACCTCAACCTTCCAAAGTGCTGAAATTACAGGTGTGAGCCACCGCACCTGGGCCAGTTTGTATTTTTAATTTAAAAATGCTGTATTAAACACTCCTAAAAGTGTGTGTGTGATGCTAATAAACAGTTAACTATTTGATGACATAAACTATATATGCTGAAGAGGAGCTGAATACAATTACTGAACTTAAAAAAACTTGTCTCAATAGAATGCACACAGGCACTCACATGTCACACACAGGCAAGGCAGCTGGCTGGTGGAAGGATGCCAACAGAAAGGGCACAGATCCTCCTGGAGAGGTCAGTATGTGGCTCACAGGTGTGGAGGGACCTCTTACTCAACATCTTATACACTATAAGGTCCAGCTTTATTTTGACGACGGCATGTAGAGTTGAATGTAAACTACTATTTTGTTACAGCATAGCCGCTTATTGCTGACACTTAGGGGTGATGGTCACGCACGGTTTTTTTTTTTTTTTTTGAGACAGTGTCTCGCTCTGTTGCCCAGGCTGGAGTGAACTGGCGCGATCCTGGCTCCCTGCAACCTCTGCCTCCCGTGTTCAAACGATTCTCCTGCCTTAGCCTCCCAAGTCACTGGGACTACAGGCACCCGCCACCACATTCCGCTAATTTTTTCTATTTTTAGTAGAGACGGGGTTTCGCTGTGTTAGCCAGGATGGTATCGATCTCCTGACCTTGTGATTCACCCATCAGCCTCCCAAAGTGCTGGGATCACAGGTGTGAGCCACCGCACCAGTTGCCACACACTGATTTTTATCACCCAGACTGAAAACTGCAAAGGTGAACCTTTCCTAGTATTTAGATGTATTCCTATCCCCTGAAGACTGTCTCACTGGCAAAAATCCTAAATTTTCAGTAGCTTTATGGCTGATTTAATGTGACTCAGTTATAACTTCCAATTCAATAGCACTGTATGAGACCTTGTTGGGAGGGGTGCTGTGTGTGTACTGGCTTTCCAAGCTGGACTGATACTTGACTTCAGATCTGATTATTCCATAAAGCAGCATGTAAGCCTTCATTTAGCTTTTTTATTTAATGGAAATCTTTATTGAGATAATGAAAGACTTGCATTATGGTAAAAATAGCAGAGCAATCCCAGTACCTTCGTTTCCCTAGTTTCTTCTAATGGCAACAGTCTGCAAAACTACAGAGCAGTATTCCAACTGGGATACAGACACTAATAACCCCTAGTCTTTTTCAGATGGTCCAGTTTACTTGTAACTCACCTCGGTGTGCATGTCTATGACCTCAGCCAAAACCCCAACCATTCCCCCAGAAGGCTGCCTCCTGGGGCCTTTTCTAACCACACAGCCCACCCCGTCCCTACCCCCTGGTAACTTTTCCTCTGTCCTCCACTTCTGAACTTTGTCATTTCCAAAATGTTATGGAATAATATATTAATAGTATGTTAAGTATCTAGGATTGGCTTTTTATTTTTTCTCAGTGTAATTCTCTGGAAATTTCATCTTTTCATTATAGGATCTAAGAATAGTCACCAGCAAGCAAAAACACAGATATCTGCTGAATGTTCACCATTTAAGCTGGAAAACTCATGCTAGGCCCCCAGCACATGGTGGAAACACGAGCTATCTGTGAAGGGTCCTGCTGTTTGCCTCAGTTTTCCCGTTTCCATGAAGGGAGGCTGGAGAATGACTTCTCTATTAGAGGGTCTTCAGTAGGTTTCTTGGGCTGGGCACCACTGGCACTCTGGGTAAGCAATTCTTTGTGGTAAGGGCTGCCCTGTGCATTCAGCAGCACCCCGGTGTCACCCAGCAGAACGAGAAGCACCCTCTCTGTTGAGACAGACACAAACGTCTCCAGACATCAACAAGTGTCCCCTTGGTGGGGTGGTACCCTGGACCAAGAGCCCCTAGTCTTTAGTGAGGTTCTGTCAGCACCCAGGGGCCGCCCTCCCAGCCAGGACATGTAAAAACTCAGGGTACTGCTCCATCAGTGAGGTCTGTGCCAGCACCGAGGGGCCACTCTCCTGGGCAGGACATGTGAAAACTCAGGGTACTGCTCAATCAGTGAGGTCTGTGCCAGCACCAAGGGGCCATACTCCAGGGCAGGACATGTGAAAACTCAGGGTACTGCCCAAGAACTCACTTTATGTACAGGCTGGATCAGGCTTGTCAGCAATGCCAAAGAAATGCTTTTGAAACGTGAAAGTTTAAGTAGTAAATCCTAAATTTGGACCATTAAAAAATAAAGTCCACAACGCAACCTGACATGCCAAATATATAATAGTCCTCACTGAGCAAAGGGCATGAAAGATCATGTTTCACAAGCAGGTTTACAAAAATGATTCCTTTCAGAAAAATCATGACTGTAGAATTAAACCAATATTTATGCTGATGAAGAACAGCAAAGCAACTGTTCTTTAAGTTATACTTTCTACCTGGATGTTGCTAATCACTGCTGGTGGTATCTTAAAAAACGAATTTACACTGGTGATTGGGAAGCAGATGGAAACCTACCGTCCACCCACCATCTGTGATGAAAATGCAAACGGCCCCTCCAGCAGCCCAGTTCCCTTTACCAGGGCCCCGGGCGTTCGCAGGAGGGGCTCTGCTCCCTGCAGGGAACGCCCGCGCCTGCGGCCTCAAACCCACCAGTACCTTGATGTACTCGCTCCAGTGCTGCAGCAGCGCCTGCTGCCCGCCCCTCACCCGGCTGAACAGCTGGTACATCTGTGCGAGGTCCGGCACTCTGTTCTCATCCAGTAAGTGATCAAGCCCTGAGATGTGTAGGACACGTCAGCAGAGTACAGCAAGGGCAGCATTAACCACAACTAAACTAGAATTCGGTGTGCACCACACTGAATACGCCGCTTAGAAATCGGGCGGGTATATGTATCACAGCCTCTATATGGGCAGCTTGATCTGGGTAAATATCTGCAGTGGATCCTATTAGGTGAACCTCATTTTTTCTGAGTATGTTGGAAGATGTATTATTTACTTCTTCATGTCACTAAAGCCTTCTTATTTCACTAAAGTTAGCAATGGTCAGAAAATCCAGTTTATGCCAACTATTTAACCCGGGAAGTTTATGTTCCCAAGTAACTTCTGATTTGGTCCATCAGACAGAAGATGTATTTGTTAGTGGACAAGCTATCAAATCTCATTTATAGTGGATCAAACTTATTCATACCTATAGTAAACTATAAGGGAAAAACATCATCAAATATTTTGAAGTGCATTTTTAAAAGTTTTCAGTGTTTTAGATTTCTGAAGTTTACAAGGGTTTTCTAAAACAACACATCAATTAGAAAAACGCTCATAGAAGATTTTCTAAATACTTGCTTTATGGTAACTATTGAGAGACAGATTACAGCATAAAAGCTGTGAACAGTCACACAATTCACAAAGTCTTCGATTCTGCCTACAATGGGCACCACACACACAAGGTGGTTTAAAGATGTGTGCAAACACGTGGTGGGGCTATAATTAAAATCCTTACCTAGAGTTCCAAATGTTTATTTCTCTCAATTACATTTTGATCTACTGACACAAATAAACTTTTTATACTTTATTTTACCAAAACCCTAAATAATGGTTTTATAATTCAAAAACTGTAACTAAAATACTTCTAATAAAATTTAGAGAAAGCTTTTACATAAATAATTTGCCATTTTCTTTAAACAATTTTGCTCAACGAAGTATGAACTGGAACAATTTATGCAAATTTCTACTATTTACTTGGAAACTTTTTCTTTTTTCCTTTTTTTTTTTTTTTTGAGACAGGGTCTCTCACTCTGTCACTCAGGCTTTTGCAGCCTCAACCTCCTGGGCCAAAGTGATCCTCCCACCTCAGCCTCCTCAGTAGCTGGCACCCTAGGCATATACCACCTGTGGCTTTTTAAATATTTTTATATTTTTGGTAAAAACAGGGTCTCTCTTTGTTGTCCGGGCTGGTCTTGAATTTGTTCTAAAAGATATTTACATGAAGTGTAGTTGTTTGTAACAGTAGATGCTCAATCATGTTAATTCTCTACCCTTTTGGTATTATTCTGGTTTCACTTAAGTATCTCATTGGCCATAATACTATTATCTGACAATACAGAGCCCAAACCAGAATATATTTGGATACCACTCAGGACCTTCTCAAAATTAAACTTTAAGGCATCCAATGGCTTGAAAAAAATCTTGCAGTTTCCAAACACATTTAAAATGACTTTCAAAAGGTAACACTGTTTCAAATGGCAACACTGAAATGTCACAATAAGTACTGAAGTGTTATAAAGGTTGGACTGCTCTTAATTTTCACGGAATTAAGCACACTTTGAAGCCTAGAAATAAAAACAACAAAAAAAGATCGAGCATCGATTTTAAAGGTGCAGGTGGCTAGAAGCCATCCTCCTGCTGCAGCCAGGTACTGGGGCCACCACTCAGGGAGAAGTGGACAAGGCTGCAGAGTCAGCACTAGAACACATGCTCTTCTCTTCCAGAAAGTCAGGAGAAACGTGTACTCTACTTAAGCAGACCACCTAGTCAGTAGTTCACCTGACACTAAGATCCACAAACTCCACAGGTGAGGGAAGTCCCATGAAAATCTAACAGCCTGAATAGCTGCCTGCATCCGCTAGACCCGAGTATGTGTGAAGAATGACCTGGCACAGGAAGTGAGCGTGCACCCACATTTCAGCATGCGTGCGGTGCACAGGTCCCTGACCTTCCCGCCACTGGGGTTTTAAGTGATTAACGCACCCACGTTTCAGCATTCGTGCGGTGCACAGGTCCCTGGCCTTCCTGCCACTGAGGTTTTAAGTGATTAACGCACCCACGTTTCAGCATGTGTGTGGTGCACAGGTCCCTGGCCTTCCCGCCAATGGGGTTTTAAGTGATTAACGCACCCATGTTTCAGCATGCGTGTGGTGCACAGGTCCCTGGCCTTCCTGCCACTGGGGTTTTAAGTGATTAATGCACCCACGTTTCAGCATGCGTGTGGTGCACAAGGTCCCTGGCCTTCCCGCCAATGGGATCTTAAGTGATTACTGTAGTTCTACCTAGTGCCTTCCACTATTATTGATTTTTTTCTCCTTTCACGGCTAACGTGTTCATTAGAGAAGCTTTTTAATGACTGTCTTATGAAAATAACAAATATCCTAACATTGCTATTTGTAATGCTTCCCTTACTTTCCTAATGAATTTAGGGTAATTGTTCAGTTTAATTTGCACAAGAATTAGGAAATCTACCTTTCTGCAGAATTGCTGTTAAATGTTCTCCTAATAGCTGTTTCTCCACACAAGCAATCAGTGGTTTCCTACATAGGGCAAAAAGAATAAGCGTTACAAACGAAGTTTAAAGAGACTGGCTCTCTGTAAAAGATGAGGGTGTTTGTCTATGACAGATGCAGTCTACAGGCAATCGGAAACCGAAGGATAAGTGCATTTTCCTCACGCAAATGGACTACGACTCCTGTTGCTCATGACTCTGAAGGAAGCGCTTTCTAAAAACCACCTACTGAGTAGCACAAACAGGCCAATGGGCGGGCCCAGGGAAGCAGGGACACAGTGGGCAGGTGGGTGGCACCCCTGAGAACAACATCTAGGCTGCTGCCTGCTCTGGTCAGGTGCTGGGCCAGCTGTCACGTTCCAGTTTTGCCCCCATCATGTGCATTTCCTGTCACGTCCCGATAGCTTCCCGCACTGTAGACACAAATTCCAGAGCAGAGTCTAGGGCCCCGATGAGCTTGCCAAGCAGTTCAATCCGGACTCAGTGCAGACATTCACATAAACAGTCAGCGACAAGCAGTCACTGAAAAGTGACATGGCCTCAGGTCTGCAGGTCTGAGAATTTTCTGGGATCAACTGTTCTCCCTCAGAGTTAAAATGCTGGTTGCTCACCTCTTTCTTCTCCCCATCTTTTTGCCCTCAGTGTGGCTTTCTCATTTATTCTTAGCACTACTGCTGTTACTTTCCTGAGGCACAGGTGGATAGGCCACAACCCTTCTGTGGTTCAGACTGGCACTGAAGGACCCCTGAGATCTGGCGCAATGCAGGTGTCCACCACATCCACACGCCTGCTCCACTCCAGGCACCCGGGCCAACACCTCCTCCAGCTCCACACCTCTGTCCCTCGCTCCAATCCTTTTCTCCCCTCATCACTGAGCATGCTCCTGCTGATCCTGGAGGCTCCTTTGTGAGGCCTGAGATGTGTGACCACCACACACACAGGGGGCACAGAAACCATTCTTCCTGCCTTTCTCTTTTATTATGCACAATGCATTCTTCAGAGGTTCTTTTCAGAAGATCAGAGCATCTGCTTTATTCCCAGGATTGCTAATTTTAGCCATCTTCTCAAGCCTTCATTTCTAGTTTACAAGGAACATTTTAATGTACCATCTTATTTAAATCTTACAGTCACCTTATAGAGAAGGGAAGAGCAGACAGAGCTCAGGAAGGCTGTGTGACCTGCACACCCTGGTTGTGGGGCTTGGCTGCGGCCAACGGTCTCTCTGCTATTTACACTGGACTTCCCTGGGGGCTCCTCTTCTGCTCCCAGTTGGATGGAGACACAAGGTGGCTCCTAAGCTGCCCTGGCCTGGCTCAAGATCCTGGATTTCCTACGGGCTCCTCCAACTCCACGTGTCTGAGTGACTGCATCTTTTCTCCTGCGTCCTCTGTTTTCGTGCTGTATGCTATCATAATCCTGTCCCTTTCCTTCACCCAGTTTGCCCCTTTCCCTACCAAGTCCTGTTCTACACATGGTATCATTTCCATCTCTCTTCCTCTCCGT